TAGAAAAAGCTGACTTAGCCTATATGGCAGGGATCCTAGAAGACATTGCTCCTATGATAGTTACCTAGACTCAAATAATCCTGAACCTCAGAAAGTTTGGGTAAACACATTTGATTTGACTTCAAGATTAGAGGTTGCTATAAAATCCTTCTTTCTCTGTGCAAATGTAATATTTAAGAGTAAAGCTGCACAAAGACAGAATCTCAATGTGGTCTTAAGTATAATTAGAATAGTTTGATAAATTCTTTGTTCAGAGTAATCATGCAGGCTGATAGTCGAAGAATAATTATTTTGTTTGTTTTGTTTCAGCAAACAACAAAGGAGAAAATACAAAACAAGAAATGACCCCTTTTCCTTACATACGTACACACACTCAGTAACATAACTTTACGGCATAAGAAGGCTGCTAACATAGTGATGATAATGTGGGCTATCTTCTTCAAATGTGGCACTTGGGAAAAAATAATCAATTATTTGAGACATTCAGTTAATTAGTTAATTTTAAGCACAGTTAGTTTTTAAGAGTAAGCTGCGAGTGGCCAAGATGGTAGAGTACAGATTGGGATCTAGATAAACTCTCTTAACATTCCCCATTCAAAATAATGCTTCAAATCAAATTTTGGAGAGGTAGAGCCAACCAAAGGTCAGAGGAAGACATTTTCCCAGCCTAAAATAATTTAGGAGGTTCTCAGGAAAGGTCAATAACACTGTGGTAGGAACAAGCTGAGAGTGCAGCAGGAGCACAAAGAGTAGGTTTGGAGGTAATTGTGACAGCAGCAGTACCTGTAGATGCAGCTTCAAGAGCTCTCAGGCCAGAGACAGAGCATTGGACGACTGATCAGAAAGAGATTGCAGGGGACCCTTTGTTGATACTAGATACAGCTGGTGCTGATTGGCAACTCTGTTGCCCATAAACAGTTCTGGGTCACAGTTCCAGGGTGGGGAGGAGCACTAGTACTTGCAGTTTAGAGGAATAGAAGCCCTTCCTGGGTAAAGGCCCCACATCAGGAGAGCAAGGACCACAAGTTCTCCCTGGATCACACCACCAAAAACTTGCAGACCTCTAGAACCATCTCTGAAAAAGCCTAAAGCCTTTCATAGAACCTCACTACCCCCAGGTAAGCCATGTTCAACTTTAACACGAAGTTAAAAGTCAAGAAATAGACAGGAAAAATGAACAAACAAACAACAATAAAAACAAAATAACTGAACCATAAAATGCTACTACAGTAACAGAGAAGACCAACACATAAACTTATAAGAAGCAACAATGTGAAAAGAGCTACAAACAAAGCCTCAAAGAGAAGTGCTAATTGGATACTAGACTACAGGAATTCCTAGAAAACTTAAAGAAACTCACAAGAATGATAGAGGAAAAATTGGGAAAAGAAATGAGAATGATGCAAAAAAATTATAAAAATAGAATTAACAGCTTGCTTAAAGAAGCATAAAAAATTGAAGAAGTCCTTTAAAAACAGAATAGCCCAAATGGAAAAGCTCACTGAAGAAAAAAGTCCTTAAAAAAGCAAAATTGGACAAATGGAAAAAGAGGTGCAAAAGCTCACTGAAGAAAAATAATACTTAAAAATTAGAATTGGGCAATGGAAGCTAACTATTCCACAAGACTTCAAGAAACAAAAAAAGAAAGTCAAAAGAATGAAAAAATGGAAGAAAATGTTAAATATCTCATTAGGAAAGCAACTGACCTGGAAAATAGATTGAAGGGAGCTAATTTAAGAATTATTGGGCTACCTGAAAGCCATGATAAAAAAAAGACCCTAGAAATCATATTTCAAGAAATTACAGAGAAAAACTGCTCCAATATCTTAGATATAGAGGGTAAAATAAAAATTGAAAGAATCTACTGATCACCGCCTAAAAGAGATTGCAAAATGAAAATTCTCAGAAATATTACAGCCAAATTCTAGAGCTCCTGGGTCAAAGGGAATATATTGCAAGCAGCCAGAAAGAAACAATTCAAATACCAGGGAGCCACAGTCAGGATCACACAAGATTTGGCAGCTTCCATGTTAAAGGAGTGAAGGGCTTGGAATATAATATTTCAGGAGGCAAAAAAAGCTAGGATTACAACCAAGAATAACCTACCTAAAAAAGCTGAGTATAATTCTTCAGATGAAAAAAATGAAACACAGAATGCCCAAGCATTCCTGATGAAAAGACCAGAGCTGAATAGAAAATAGAAAAATAGAAAACATTCAAACAGAACTCGAGAAGCATAAGAAAGGTATGAAATATGAAACTGATAATCATAAGGGACTAAATGGAGTTAAAATGTTTACATTCCTATGTGGGAAGATGATACATGTAACTCCCATTATTAGCATAGTTAGGAGAGGGCATGGGTGTGAGTATGTTGGAATGATCTCAAAGAAAATAACATAGGGGTGAGAAAGAGGGGTACACTGGAAGAAAGGGAAAAGGAAAGGTACAATAGGTCGAATTTTCTCACATAACAGAGGTACGCAAAGAAGAGCTTTTATAGTGAGATGAAAAATGGGGGATGGGGTTTTGGGTGGCAGGCAATGCTTTAACCTCACTCTCACTGGAATTGTTTCAAAGAGGGAAGAATATATACATATATATATATATATATACACACATATATATATATATATACATATATATATTATATGTGTGTGTGTGTGTATGTATGTATGTATACACACACATACATACTCGGGTATAGAAATCTAGCTTACCCAATAGGGAGACAGGAGGGAGAATGGGACAAGAGATATGGGGGCGGGGCTGTGATAAAGAGGAAGGCAAATTTCAGGGAAGCAGTGGTCAGAAGCAAGATAGACTTTTGAGGAGGGACAGGATATATATATAGTGTGTGTGGTATACATATGTTTATATATATATATATATATATATATATATATATATAGAGAGAGAGAGAGAGAGAGAGAGAGAGAGAGAGAGAGAGAGAGAGAAGGATAAACAGAGGAAAATGGGATGGAGGGAAATGCACAGTTAGTCATCATAACTGTGAATATGAATTGAGTGAGCTAATCCACAGAGCAGAAGTGGATAACAGAATGGATTGGAAACCAGAATCCAACAATATGTTGTGTACAAGAGACACCCTTGGGACAGAAAGACACACACATAGAGTTGAAATGAAGGGCTGGAGCAGAGTTTATTATGCTTCACTTGAAGTGAAGAGGGCAGGTGTGATAATCAGGATCTCAGACAAAGCAAAAGCAAAATTAGACCTAATTGTAAGAGATAATTGGGAATCTACATTTTGTTAAAAGGTACCATAGACAGAGAAATAATATCAAAACATTTTACAGCGAGTTTCTCTGATAAAGGCTTTATTTATCAAATACATAGGGAACTATTTAAAATCTATAAAAATAAGAGCCATTCCCCAATTGATAAATGGTCAACAACATGAATAGGCAGTTTTCCTAAGAAGAAATCAAAGTTATTTATAGTTACATGAAAAGATTCTCTAAATTACTATTGATTAGAGAAAGGCAACCCACTAGACCCAGATGGCTCCAGAGGAGAAAGAGAGGCTGATGACTTTGCATAGCCCTCCCTCACCTAAGTCTAATTCATTTGCAAGTCATGGCATCATCTTCCTAATGTCATGGTCCTCTTCAAGAACAAAAGACAAATAACAATCAGAAATTACAAATGCCATAGAGGATGAGGAAAAATAAGTACATTAATGAACTGATGGTAGAATTGGTCCAATCATTCTGGAGAACAATTTGCCATTGTACCCAAAATGTTATACAACTGTGTATATCCTTTGTTCTAGCAATACCATTACCACATCTGTATCCCAAACAGATAAAAGAAAAAGGAAAAGGACATATCTGTACAAAAATATTTATAGCAGCTCTTTTTGTGATGGCAAAAAATTGGAAATTGAGGGGATATTTATCAGCTGGGGAATGGCTGAACAAACTATAACACATTATTGTGATAGAATATTATTGTACTATCAAAAATGACAAGAGGGGTGGTTTCAGAAAAAGAAAAAAACAGCAGCATGGCAAGACCTGTATGAACTAAAGCAAAATTATGTGAGAAGAAATGGGAAATCATTGTGCACAGTAACAGAAAGGTTATAATGATGATCAACTGTGAAAGCCTTGGCTACTGTGATCAATACAGTGATTCAAAACAATTTTAAAGGACTCATGATGAAAAAAAAGCTATCTACCTCTACAGAGAGAACTGATGAACTCTGAGTACAAAATGAAGTATAATTTTCTTGCTTTATTTATTTGTTTTGTGGTGTGCCTAATATGGAAATACATTTTACATTATTTCACATGTATAATTTATATCATATTGTTTGCCTCCTCAAAGGGTGTGGGAGGTATGGGAGAGAGAGAGAGAGAATCTGAAACCCAAATTAAAAAGGAAAAGAATGTTAAAAGAAAATAAATAATAAATATATTTTAAACATATTAAGTTTACATATCCATTTATTGAGTGTGGTGTACAGTGTTTCTCTATGCCTAATTTCTGCCAGACTGCTTTCCTGTTTTCCCAGTAGTTTTTTTTAATCAAATAAGGAGATTTTCCCTAGGTAACTCAGGTTTTCTACTTCATCAAACATTGGGTAATTGAGTTCTACTGTTTCTCAGCCTCTCTTGTCTAGTCTGCTCCATTGATCTATCCCTCTGTTTTGTTTTTTGGTTTTTGTTTGTTTGTTTTTTCACAAATATAAATGGTTTTGATGACTGTGGCTTTATATTACAGTGTGAGGTATGGAAGTGCTAATCCCCCTTCATCCTAACTTACTTTCATCATTTCCATTGGCATTCCAGATCTTTTTGTTTTTCCAAATAAATTTTAGTATTATTTTATCAAGCTCCATAAAGTATCCTTTGGCAATTTGATTGGCATAGCATTAAAAATGTAATTCTTTTAAAAAGAGTGAGCTGTGAAATATGGCTCTATCTCTAATAAAACACCAATAAACATTTTAAAAATTTCAACTATTTGCTTACTCTATTGTTTCTCTGTTGGAAAGTGTTCTTAACGAAAAAGCCACCATTGCCTTGAATAAGTATTCTTCATTTCTATTCCAGGCATACTGTAAAATAAATAAAACAGAAAAAAAATGTCAATTTAAGAAAAACAAAAATGAGAGAACAGAATGAAAAGGAGTCCAATTATTTTACAGGCAAACCATGCTTTTAAATGCAAAATGTTCCTGAAGACCAGAAAATTATTGTTAAGGATACGTCTTGACTCTATATCTGCCTTGTAATCTGATTCCATATTTGCTTTTGCTTTCATCTGTTTGGGATTCAGTAGAAGTGGTCAAATGAATGGCTGAAAGTGGGGAAACCCTTAATTATAGTTCTTTTTAAAAATTGTGTCAGAGAAGTGGAATGGTGAAATGCAAAGAAGGAAAACATTAATATTGTTTCTATTGAATATTAAAATAGAATAAAATGTTCATGTCTGAGAATTCAGTAAGTAGAACCTTTCTACCTCTCCAGAGCCTTCCCAGCTGGGAAGGCCCTTCCACATACATGGTATACAACATCATCTGATGGTTCCCTCATATAATCATGGAAGTTATCATAGAATTTGAAAGAACCTCAGAGGTCATCCAGTCTAATACCATTCAAATTATAAATCCTATGTAGAATATCTGAAGACCCCTAGTAACAGGAAACTTATTCCTGCCAACTCCACTATTCCAACACATTTGTCATTCCCCGGTCCTGAGAGAGTCCAATCCAGTTTGGGACAGTTTTAAGTATTAGGAAGACATGTTGAATCAAAATTGTTCCTCTATAACTTACACCTATTGATCCTAGCTTTGTCCTCTGGAGCAACACAGCACAAATATAATCCTTCTTCTACATGGTAATTCTGCATGTATTTGAAGACTGGTACCATGTCCCTCCCATGGCTTCTGTACTCCAGGTCTCCTTTCCTTTCTCGTCAAGGTCCACAGTCTTTACCCACTTCCTCTCTAATCCCATTAAACCCTTGTCCAGGAAGCCATTATAACATGTGAAAGTTTCATCTACCAATCTACGGCACCATAGCTTATCTTTTTTACCTTCCCCAGACCCCTTCCAGGCCCTAGCACTGGCTACTACAGGAAGTTTTGACAGATGAAAAGTGTTCAACAGTGCTGAACACTAATTTTTGGGCTTGGCAGACTCAAATTCATCTCTTTAAGGCCTTCCCACAACTCTTGTTCTGCCACACAAGTACCTATGCTTTTAATACTGGTTAGTGTATGAAGGAAAGAAAAAGCATAGACTGCAATATACAAAAATTTGAATAGGTTAGAGATTCTAATCTCTGGCTAAATACTGGGACTGCTAGCTAAGGGCAACAGAGCAATATATGCGATTTCTTTCCTTTTTTTAGTTAAACTTTATTCATAATAATAATAACTATTATTATCATAAATAATAATTTATACAGCACCTACTATGTGCTGGTCAGTGTGCTAAGACCTTTTTTACAAATGTTATTTAATTTAATCTAACTTGAACTAATCTCTTTCTCTGCATTCAGGTTGGACTGATTTTGATATTAGTTCCAAAGCTGAGAATCTTCACACCATCTCTCTTCTATCTCCACTCTATACATACACTACAAGAGAAAAAGGAGAGGGATGAAAGAGAGGAGTGGTAGTAGTAGAGACCAGAATAAAAGGTTATATCCGAAGCTAGCTTCATGGGAGGAGGTAAGTATGGTCTGGAAGGAATCAAGCATAGTCTGGAAGGAATCTGCCTTTTTTCCTGTCAGTAAGGAGTGAGCCAAACTCTGCTCCACAGCAATACCTGTTGGTTATACAAGGAAGACCAATATTCTTTCAACCCTTCTTCATGTTCCCATTCTATTTATCCTCTTAGCTTCACTTTTCTCCTTGCCTAGCCTGAACGCCACGCTCAATTACTATAAGATACCGCTCTTTAAATCCCTAGGATCCCTCTCTTGCTTGATTTTCTGCTTTTCTCAACTTGCTAAGCCTTCAATAAAATCTAACTAGGAACCAGACCACCACGCCACTGCCTACAGTATCTTTCATTCTTATGCCATCTGGACCCAACTGGAAACTAGGAATTTACTCCTGCTAAACCACCAAACCCAGACTTTTTTCGCCTGATCTAACCAGGAATAAGATCACTACATCCCTTCCTGCAATCTTTTCACCTGCATTCCCCACCCCCATCTCTCTCCTTCTTTATATATTGCCTTCTTTTGTTAAACTATAAACTCCTTAGGACACAGCTATCTTGTTTGTTTTTTATATGTATCTTGACAGCTTATTATAGTGACTGACAAATACTAATGCTTAATAAATTGTATCTATCTAATTATCTATCCATAATCAACTCTCTACTTTTTCTATTTCATTCCTGGATTGCTGAAAAAAGTCATGTTGCTGATTTTACTACAAATCTATATTATCTAACTTTGGAAAAGCCCTTTCTGCTGCCTGACAATCGTTTTTCTCATCTCTTGTTAAGTCATTACATTCTTCAAAGTGACAATTACACACTTCTTGACTTTCCTCAAGTTCCCACTTTCATTCCACCCCTGTCAGTCTTAACAGATGACCTACTTGCCTGAAAAGATTAAGGCCACCAATTTTCCTCCTCTCCACTTCAAAATCTTTTGTCTTTTCTTCTTGTCACAGAGGAAAAAGCATCCCTTTTCTTACCAAGGTTAGTCATTCCACTTGTACCCTTGATTCTATTCCCTTCCTCGGGAGGGCCTTGTTTACATCCATTATCCCCAATCTCTCAATTTTAGCATCTTCAGCGATTACTGGTATTAGATATTATTATTAATATTACATATTTAAATACCATTAAGTATTAATATTAAATATTAAAATCCCCATTTACACACACACACCCCACTCAACTTTGCCACCCTACTACCCCTTCAAGTTACCATGCAAGTGTTGTTGTTGTTGTTCAGTCATTTCACTTGAGTCCAACTGTTCATGACCCCATTTGGGGTTTTCTTGAAAAAAAAAATACTGGAATGGCTTGCATTTCCTTCTCCAGTTCATTTTACAGATGAGGAAACTGAGGCAAATAGGGTTAAGTGACATGCCCAAGGTCACATAGCTGGTAAGTGTCTGAGGCCACATTTGAACTCAGGTCTTCCTGATTCTAGACCCAGCACTCTATCCACTGTGCCTCCTAGCCACCCCTATCATGAAAATGGACAGTTGATTTTAGATGGAACAACTTATAGATATATCACTTATTAAGAACTTAGAATTTTCCAGGCACTGTAATAAGACACAGGGATAGAAACATACACACACACACACACACACACACACACACATACACACACACAAATAAGATAGGCTTGCCCATAAGGAGCTTGTATCCTAATGAGGGAAGACAATAAATAAAGAGGTGCTAGGCTGGGGGGGAGGGTGCATGGTGAGAAAGCTGTGAGAAGTGATGCAATTGTCTGATTCCTGGCTCCATGTTATGTTTCTTCATAGATTAGTCTACAATCACTGCTTCACCTTTCCCTGACTCCTTAACCTTCTTTTATGTGACTTTAGCTCCTATGACTCTACACAAACAGTGCCATGGCTAGGAATTTTTGCACCAAGACATGCGCCTTCAAGAAATGAAAATGCACTCTAGGCCACCACGAGGTTTCTGTGCTGCAGAATGACTAGCTACTACTAGTAAAAGGGGCCTGGTAAGTAGGCTGCAGCCACCAGAGTTAGAAAGTTGGTCTTAAGATACTGCAGCTAACCTAAGGCAAAACCCCGGTCAGTCTGTTCTACTTAGGCTCTGCTTGAAACTATTTTCTTGAAGGTAGAGAGAATTTCTACCTTGATGGTATCAAAATTGACACAGAGTAGGTGCTTAAGAAATGTTTATTAATTGACTGACTCTCATCCAGGCTCAAAATTTTTGAGTCATCTTCAACTCATCCATCCCCATTGCTTCCAACAATGTCATCAACACCTATAGCTTTTGCCTCTGAAAAACCTTTGCCATCTATGTCTTCAATTTCTTTTCCACTGCTACAAGTCCATAAACACTTGTCTGGACTATTACAATACCCTCCTTACTGGTCTCCCTACCTCTAGCTCCTGTTTTTCTTCAAGTCCAGTTTATCCTTCTTGTTGATCCCAGATAATCTCCCTAAAAGACTATTTTGATCACTTCTGTGCTCAAAAATATTCGTTGGATCCCCATTGCCTACAGAATAAAAGCAGGAGAAGTTGAAGAAATTATATAGATGAACCAAGACCAAAAACCAAACTTCTTTTTGAAAAATGAGTAGGATTCAAAAATCACAGAACCCGAAGGAAGGAACCTCAGAGACCATCTATTCCAATCCATACCTGAATAAGAAGCCCTGCTATAAAGTATCTCATGGTGGAGAGAGGGGAGCAGGGTCATCCAGCCTTCAATTGAGCATCTCTAGTGAACAGAAACCCATTATCTCTAGAGAAAGTCCTTTCCACTTTCAGATAATTCCAGTTGCTAGGAAGTTCTCCTTGCATCCAGCTAAATGTGTGTCTTTGCAACATCTACCCATTGCTGCCCTGTCATAAAACAAGCCTATATTCCTTCTTCCATAAAGACCTTTAAATACTTAAGAACAGTTACATCCCCTCTGCCAGGGTCCCACCTCAGTCTTCTGTTCTCCAGGTGCTTTTCTTGTTCCTTCTTTAACCCCATCATTTGTTTTAAATTATATCAGAGCTTTCTTTTTGTTTGTTTGCTCATTTTTTATAAGTTCTGATTTTTTTAAAATCTCTAAGAATGTTTTAAGTATTTAGAGTAGTATTTAAGGATTTAGTATTATAAGAAATACTTTTAAGTATTTCTATTTTTATCTTTGAAGGTGATAGTGAGGGATTAAGCTTCTTAGGGGTCTCTCCCTGCACTATCTTCCCAGGAGTCCTACATGGTACTTTTTTCACAATGACCTTGTGAAGCAAGAAGTATTATCCCCATTATACTCTAAGAGATTCAGTGACTTTCCTACAATTACATATTAAATAAGTGGTGGAGCTGTATACACACACATACACACACACACACACACACACACACGCACACACAC